GTGCAAGCCCCCTGCACTGGCTAGAGAATGTGAATGGAATCTGTAAATGATATCTTATTTTGAAAAAAAAAGGGGGACTTTACTTCCGGGATTGCAGAGGTTCTTGACCCAAAAGGGCTCAGGAATTGAATGAACAGACAAGACACAAATCGAGAGGACCAGAAGGTTGGTGACCAACTGGCAATTTTTTTATTTTTGCATTAGGCTTATAAGCAGTACAAAGCAGGAAGTTATACAACACAAGGAGAATTTCTATGCCTGGGAAACAATGCCCTCTGCCTGAAAAAATGTCCTCACTCCAACCTCTCTAGTTTCATAAATGAAACCCAGACCTCCCTAGTTTCACCTAGTTTCACATACACAAAACCCGGGCCTGGTTGCCCGGGACATGTCACCTGTTCCTAACCTTTCATAAACAAATACCTTTAGGTTATTAATGTTTCTTTTCTCCAGACAAAGGGAGCCACTCCATGTTCCCTCAAAACCCCAGTGAGAGACTCTGACCTTGTCAGGATCCTGCTAAGCTGCAACCACCTTGTCAGAATGTGGTTCATGGCTCCCAACACTTTACGGTGTGATGAATGATCTTGAAATGGGGTGATTACTATGATTATTCAGATGGGCCCTGCTATGTATGAATGACCCCTGCAAAATTCATGTTGAAACTTAATTACCACTGTGAGAGTGTTGTGGGGGGGTCAGTAAGCAGCAGTGAGGTCACGGGGGTCATGGGGAAGTCTGTCCTCATGAATGGATTAATGCCCTTGATATCTCATGCTAATGAGATGACTAGTGGTTGTTGAACCCCAGGATCCGGCTGATCACCAGAAAGACCTTTAGAAGTTTAGAAGCTGGGACCTGCAGCCACTCCACAGCCTCCAGGGAGGGGAAGGATGTCTGAAGGCTGGTCACTCATGGCCAGTGACTCAATCAATCACACTTACAAATTAGTGTTGCCTTATCCTTCAGGGCCTGTGTCTTCAGAAGGATAGCCTAGACTTTTTTGTGGTACTGAGATTTTGAACTCAGGGGCCTCATGCTTAGTTATTTTTCAGATAGGGTCTTGCATGGCTCTCCTACCTGCACCTTCTGCATAGCTGGGATTATAGGCATGAACTACCACATCTGGCCCAAAGATGAATTTTTTTTGGCGAAGTGGTATTGGGGTTTTGAACTCAGAGCCTCACACTTGCTTGGCAAGTGTAGACTTTTTGACAAGGTATCTAGGCTCTATTCTCACTACCACAGAAGTTCATTGTCTTTTAAGGTCTGGACTCAGAAGTTCCAGAATGCCATTTCTGCCAAATTTTATTGGACAAACAGAACATAAGGCCAACCCAGATGCAAAGAGTGAAAATATATCCTCCAGAATTTGATGGGAGCATACATGTACAGAGTTGGAAGTATTGCTGGTAGCCATCTATATAACAAGTCTATCATACTGAGACAGGCATGGTGACACATGCCTGTAATCCCAACTGAGGCAGGAGGACTCTGAGTTCAAAGTCAGTCTGGATTACACAGCAAGACCCTTGTCTCAAAAAAAAACATCTACCCCACTGAGGATAATGTGTCTGCTGGTTTTCTTGTAAATGTTGTCTGTGGGTTCTGATTTTGTCGTCTGGTTGCTCTGTCAGCATGAAGAAACTTTTTTCAAAGTATAATTTCCAGATACTCTGGAGGTGGAGATTAAGAGGATTGCAGTTTGAGGCCAGTCCAGGCAAAAAAATTAGTGAGACGCCCATTTTGAAAAAAACTCTTCACCAAAATGGGCTGGTGGAGTGGCTCAAGGTGTAGGCACTGAGTTCAAACCCCAATACCACAAAAAAAGCAAAAAAAAAAAAAATCCCAAAAACTTGGTATTACATGGCATACCATATCATAACTAAATTCCAACCAGATTAAAAGTTTAAGTAGAAAAATTCATGTCTGTAATCCCAGCTACTCAGGAAGCAGAGATCGGGTTTGGGAAGATGAAGGGTGTAGACCAACTCAGGCAAAAAGTTCAAGAGAACTCATCTCAACCAATAAAACCTGGGTATAGCGGCACACATCTGTCATCCCAGCTACTCAGAAAGCAGAATTAGGAGGATTGTAGTACAGGCCAACCTGGGCATAAACTCAAAACTCTACTTGGAAAAATAACTAAAAGCAAAAAGAGCTGTGGGTATGGCTTAAGTGGTAGAGAGCTTGCCTGGCAAGTGCAAGGCCCTGAGCTCAAACCCCAATACCGCTCCCCCCCAAAAATTAAAATATTCAAATAAATGTTAAATCTATCTTTCCAGTACTATCTGGAATAAGGAAGGGTGATCATGCAAGACAGGATAGAGAGAAGCCGTAAGAGAAAGCTTAGACATTTCTGATCATTGTTCTAATTATATATTAAATATATCTATAAAACTCAAAGAACAAAAAATAGATATAGCCAAATTTCTTCCCCCTCCAGAGGCTGTAACCTTTCCTAATCCCACTGTTATTAAACCCAAATGTATTTACTGGCCACTTGAAAAGGGGCCCAGTGAATGGTGGACAAGTTGTTGGGGCAAGGAAAAAGATTTAGTTGGTAAACCAGCAGAACTGGATAGATTGTGAATTAGTAACCTAAAAACAAAAAAAAGACAACATCTTGCAGGGCATGGTGGCAAGGGCCTGCAATTCCCACTCTCAGGAGGCAGGAGGATCTGGAGTTCAAGGCTAGCCTAGACTACAAAGGGAGATTTATCTCCCTCCCCACCCCTGGAAAAAGAACCATTTTAACTCAGCATGAAGTTCAAACTTTCATTTTTACACAACAGGGAAAGAAGGACTTAGCTTAGAGAAGAATTGGTAACTGGGGACTGCTAGGTGCTGCTCAGGCTCCAGTGGTATGGAAGGGTACTTTGTGAAACCTGGGGGTTGCCCCCTGTGAACCTTGAAAATATCTTAGTTATCCTCATCTTGGTGTCATGAGTACAGAAGGAGAAGAAGAGCTGGGCGCTGGTGGCTCACGCCTGTAACCTAGCTACTCAGGAGGCAGAGATCCAGAGGCTCACAGTTCGAGGCCAGCCTGAGCAAATAGTTCATGAGACCCTATCTTGAAAATACCCAACACAAAAAAGGGCTGTTGGAGTGGCTCAAGTGGTAGAGTGCCTGCCTTGCAAGCTCAAGGCCCTGGGTTCAAATCCCAGTACACCCCAAAAAGGAGGGGGGCAGTTTCAGATCCGTTAGTTTTGTAATACCAGCCCAGAGAAACTCTTCGCATACATGTTCACATATAGAGTTGAGCAGAAACGGTCTGACCCAAGGGTTAAAGATAGATACAACATGAAGGCAGAGATGTCAGGAGTTTTCACCCTGCTTTAGTTCTCCCATCAGACACTGCACAGGTGCAGTGAAGAGTCAGTGCTTTTGACAAGTCCCAGAAAAGTAACAAGGTAACCATTATCACCATCACCCACACATCTGAGCTGTTCCCTGCAGCAAAGCTAGTGGGAGACTACTAATATATTGCTAAGCCGTGTGACCTCCAAAATTAGTGATTTTGAAAGTTCATTGAAAGCAAGTAACTAAGAGCAAGTGAAGCTAGAGGGCTTAGTTTTTCTGTTTCACCACCAGCAAAATGTGAGTTCAGAAGGCAAATTCCCTCCAGCCCTGGATGTTGGTGTTGTCTTTAATTTTCACCATTCGGAGGGCTACTGATGTTTAATGACCTTAATTTGCATTTTTTGCATCTTTTCCCTGTTTTTTGGCCATTTCCTCTTCATGTCTTTTGTCCAGTTTTCTTTGGATTTGTCTTTTTCATATCAGTTTCTAGAAGGTCTTTGTACATTGTCATATTAACCCTCTGTCAGTTACATTGCAGTATTTCCGCCTTACTTCCTGCATTGAATAAAACCCTCTCTCTCTTTCTCTGCCTCTCTCTTTCTCCGTGGTTAACAAGCAGAAGAAAATCATAAGGAAAGATACACGTATTTTTGTGAGGCTGAGGGTGGAACCCAGGGCCTTGCACATGCTAGGCAAATGCTGTACCTCTGAACTGCATCCCTAGTCCTTGGTTTTTTGAGATGGGCACAGGATTAACATTTTAACTTTTTATTCCTTTTGGGACATGAAGCCTGGTGTCATAAGTGTAACGTTTTCTGTGTTCCCTCTATATTCTTTCTTTGAGACTTGGATTCTGAGAACAGAACGTGAGGGATTGAGCTGGGTGAAATGGCAACATTGCCACCTGGGACCAAAGGCCACCGAACATGTCCGCATAAGCCACCTTGGTTTCCTTCCCCTAGAATAAAACCCTGATCATCCCCTACGTTCCAGGAGGCTCCGATTAACACTCGAAATAAAAAGCACCCATTCCCTTGCCTTTGAGTCTTGGAGCATTTTTGCAAATTTGATAATGAACTTCAAAGTAATTCGGGGCTCAAGGAGTGGAAGGTGGGGGGGTTGGCTGAAAAATTAGCCCTCGAAACCAAGCACAAAGGCACATCAAAGAAGTGCAAATTAATACAACCAATCCAAATTCGGATATTCCGAAGAGGACTTTAGCCTTAACGCTACTAAAGGTGCAAGGTCCCAAGAAAGGCTAATATCTGCAGTTTGCAAGTGAGCTAAGGTGCTGCACCTCTGATGGCACCCACACCCATGACTCCTCCACGGACCGTAGTCCCCGCGCCCACAGAGGTTAAACTGTCGCGGTCGGCGGCTTCCACTTCCTGGCCTACGTCTGACACATATACGTCCCCCTCTCCCGCCCCCGCCTCCTAGGCAAGTGCACAGGTTCGGTGACAGCGGAGACGCCCAGCGAAGTGCGAAGGGGGCGTGGCGGGGCTGAGGAGGGGGCGTGGCGGGGCTGAGGAGAGGGCGTGGCGGGGGCGTGGTGGGGCTGGGGAGAGGGCGTGGCGTGGCGAAGCTGGGTCCTCCTCCGGCCCGCTGGGGGAGGTTGTGGGAGACATTTAAAGGAGCCGCGGCTCCCTAAGGGAGGCGACCCAAGGCCTCAGCCCCCCACCCCCCAGGCTGGGAAGCAAAGCGCCCCGCCCACCTGCGCCTCGGAGGTCACTGAGTTCCCAGAGCTGCGGCGGAGGGAGGGTGCTTCTGTCCCCAGAGAAATGCCACTGAGGACGATGGGGTGGGGAACCGCGGGCCGCAAGGGTGAGGTGACCATCCTTCCAAGATGGCGGCTCCCGTAGAGACACTGGCAGGGTGCCAGCTGTGTTCCTTGCCTGACGGAGTCACCGAGGAAAATCGGAAAGCCCGCGTCTCCGCCGGCTCACGCACGCGCACGCAGCGAGACCGTGTAAGTGCACCAGGTGTGACGGGGGCGAGGCCGCGCTCCCTGTCGCCGACAAACCAAGGGTTCCTTCCAGCGCTTGGGGACCTGGGGCTCTGCGAGTGACTTGAACTGGCAGATTTAGGACAGTGAGTCACTGACATGAGATAAGACGGGGTGATGGGACTCTGGGGTGAGTGACGGAGCTGCTCTGAGGTCACTTACGGGGAGAGGCAGGTGCAGACTGGGCTTGTGGGTGAAATGATGGGGACCTTGGGGAAAGCGAAGGAGGTCTGAGGGACACGTGACGAGAACCTTGCAGTAAGGGATGCAGGGTTGCCAGGGTAGGTGGCGGGCTGTCTGAGAAGTGAGCGTTGCCGAGTCGGGGGTGTCCCTGTGGGACGAGGTGTGACATTGGGCTTATTGGGTGGTCCGGGGTTTCTGCGGGGTAGGGGATGCGTTTATTGGGGGCTAGTGAAGGGTCTGTGGAATCAGATCCGCAGCTTCTTGCGGTCGGGGCAGCTTCTTGGGGTCAGGGATAGGGGGTCCTTTTTTCAAAACCTACTTATTTCAAAACCTACTTTTAACCTGGTGGGTCCCTCTGTACCTCTGCTTTCTCATTAATATCTGCCTTGACTTCAGTCTTTCTTTTCCTTGTTTTTTCCCTTCTTTTTATTTTATTTTTCTTAATTTTCATTTATTTTACGGTGCTGGGGATTGAACCCAGGGCCTCGTGCATGCTAGGTAAGTGCGCTCCTTCTGGGCTATATCCTGTTCACGTTTACCTCATTACTATTCAGTCATTTGCTTTTATAACATAAGCATTAAGTTTATGATTTTTCTCTAAGAACACCGCAGCCACTGCTTACTTCTATTGTGTTGGAATTTCTGTTGCGATTTTTCTTCGTGACTCCTGCATTATTTAGGTAGGAGATTTGGAGTTCCCAGGTGTTGAGAATTTTGTTACTGGTTTCTAATTTGTGGTCAGAGACTGCCATGTGCGTGATCATTACGTCTAGGGATGGATATTTTCCTACTTCTTTTTTCAGTGGTACTGAGGTTTGAACTCAGGGCCTCACGCTTGCTAGGCAGGCGCTCTATAAGTTAAGCCACTCCTCCAGCCCGGGACGGATATTTTTAAGTTCAATACATACCACCAAATCATTTTCCAAAAGTTTTGTGAAATTGAAATTCCCACCAGCAATATATAAAAGGGCTCATTCCAAAATCCTCTCACACTGAATGTTGTTTTTATTTTCCCATTCCGAGGGCCAGATAAAATGCTAGCTAGTTTGCTTTGATGTTCACTTTCCTGACTAGTGATCAAATATTTTCCATATTTATCAGCCATTGAAATATATTTTAATTTTTTTCATATCTTTTACTCTTCATTCCTTTAAGTGGTTTGTCTTTCTTACTAATTTGTGAATATTAACCTTCTGTTATTTATTCTGTCTTCCTTCCTTCTTCCTTTCTTCTTCCTTCCTTCCTTCTCTTCTCCCTTTCCTGCTGCCTCCCTCCCTTTCTTCCTCCTTCCCTCTTTCCATAGGGTTTCACTTTGTAGCCCAGGCTGGCCTCTACTGTTTGATCCTCCTGCTTTTACTTTCCAAGTGCTGAAATTACAGTTGTGTACCGCCATTCATGCCTGTAACTATATATATTTTTTATCTTTCTATCTTTAATTTTTAAAGGTGTCATATACAATTAGAAAAATTGTAGACTTGATTTGAATAGCTATATCTGTCTTTCCAGGTTCTGGTTCCTCATTTCATATCTTTTCTAGTGAATTCTCATTTCATGCTTAAATAAATATATGCCTTAAATTTATTTTAATCTTCTTAAAGTTAAACTTTAATCCAACTAGAATGAACTCTGGTGTGTGGAAAGAAATGAGACCACTTTGTATTTTCCTTTTAGACAGCCAGTTTGCCAGTATCAGTTGTTGAATGAATATCCTTTTCTAATTCAATAAGTGTCACTTCTGTCACACAAATCCCCAAATGTATATTGTTTTATTTGTGAGCTATAATTTGTTCTTCTGACAGCTGTATCTACTTCCTTTAAACATTACATTGACTTTGGAAATAATTTTAATATCAGGCACTATGTTTCTTCCTCACTGTTTTTTTTGCTCATAAGAATATTAAAACCATTTTATCTAGTTTCAAAAATAACTCTTACAACCATAATAATTTATACTGTTCTTATTGTAGGCTCAGCATCTTTTGAAACAGTTCATTCATAGTACTAGGATTTGAACCCAGGGCTCTGTACTTGTGAGGCTGGTGCTCTATCACTTAAGCCACACCTCCAGCCCCCAAAATAGCTCCCTCTTAGATATCTTACTTTTGTTTTTGTCATCATTGTGGATAGCATATTTTTTCTATTTTCAAAGAGAAAATCTATTGATTTTCATAATTTTATTTCTTACCCGATCTAATTGTCAAATTCTCATATGAAAGAGAGTTGCTTTTCATAGCCTCTTTTCCTAGATATCATATCACATCCAATTAAAAGGACTCGACCTTCCTTTCAAATATTTATTCTAGAAAATTTATTCATTTTCTTTGCATTCGCAGAATGTCAAGCACAGCGTTGAATGGTACTTGATAGACCATCTTGTTGCTGATGTTAATGAAAACAACTTGAGCGTGCATTTTTTTTGTTGTTTGTTTGTTTGTACTGGGGTTTGGACTCAGCTTGCTATGCAAATGCTCTACGTTATTCCCATTTCTGTGCTTTGGATGTGGGTTTGTTTGTTTGTTTGGTGCACTGGGGCTTGAACTCAGGGCCTCACACTTGAGCCACTCCATCGGCCCTTTTTGTGTTAGTTATTTTTCAGGTTTTTTCCTGGGCCTGGCCTCAGATCATGATCCTCCTATGTACGGCCTCCCACATGACTGGGACAACAGGCACATGCCACCATGCCCAGTTTATTGATTGAGATGGAGTCTCACTAACTTTTTGCTCGGTCTGGTCTCAAAGCAGGATCCACCTGATCTCTGCCTCCTGAGTGGCTGGGATTACATGTGTGAGCCACAGGCCTGAGATACTGCTTGGCATACTTAAACATTTGTTAGTTGAAAGTACAAACATTTCTTGAGTACCTACCCCAAGGCAGATACTGGGTTTGGCTCAAGTGGCAGAGTGCCTGCCTAGCAAGCATGAGGCCCTGAGTTCAAATCCTGGTGCCACCAAAAACAAGAAAACAAAACAAATCAAAAGGAAAAGGTTACATTGTATGCATTAGAAGGCATTCCTCACTCCCACTCTTACCCCAGCATGGTAACCACTAACCTACCTTCTGTCCAAGACATTTTATATAAGTGGAATCATAAAATATGTGGTCTTTTATGACTGTCTTCTTTCACTCAGCAAATGTTTTCAAGGTTCCTCTTATAGCATAGATCAGTACTTTAGTCCTTTCATTAATTTTTATTGTAGAACACTCAACCTAGGGTTTGTCCTTAACTAATTTTTACATGCACTAGACAGTATTGTTCACTGCAGGCCCAGTGTCATACAGCAGTCTCTAGAGTTTATTCTTCTTGTATAAGTGAAACCTTGTCCCCATTTCTGTGCTTTGGGTATAGGTTGGTTTGTTTGTTTGGCAGTACTGGGATTTGAACTCAGGGTCTCACACTTGCTAGGCAGGGGCTTTTACTACTTGAGCCAGTCCGCCAGCTCTGGATGTGGTTTTGATGTGTCCCCACACATTTCATGTGTTGGAAGCTTGGTCCCCAGTGTGGTGGTGGAACCTTTAAGAAGTGGGGCCAACACGAATAGCCAAGGTAATACTCAGTCAAAAGAACAATGCAGGAGGTATCACAATACCTGACTTCAAACTATATTACAAAGCAATAACAATAAAAACAGCATGGTACTGGCACAAAAACAGACATGAAGACCAGTGGAACAGAATAGAGGATCCAGATATGAAGCCACACAACTATAAGCAACTTATCTTTGACAAAGGAGCTAAAAATATACGATGGAGAAATAGCAGCCTCTTCAACAAAAACTGCTGGGAAAACTGGTTAGCAGTCTGCAAAAAACTGAAACTAGATCCATGTATATCACCCTATACCAAGATTAACTCAAAATGGATCAAGGATCTTAATATCAGACCCCAAACTCTTAAGTTGATACAAGAAAGAGTAGGAAATACTCTGGAGTTAGTAGGTATAGGTAAGAACTTTCTCAATGAAACCCCAGCAGCACAGCAACTAAGAGATAGCATAGATAAATGGGACCTCATAAAACTAAAAAGCTTCTGTTCATCAAAAGAAATGGTCTCTAAACTGAAGAGAACACCCACAGAGTGGGAGAAAATATTTGCCAACTATACATCAGACAAAGGACTGATAACCAGAATATACAGGGAACTTAAAAAACTAAATTCTCCCAAAACTAATGAACCAATAAAGAAATGGGCACGTGAACTAAACAGAACTTTCTCAAAAGAAGAAATTCAAATGGCCAAAAACACATGAAAAAATGCTCACCATCTCTAGCAATAAAGGAAATGCAAATTAAAACCACGCTAAGATTCCACCTCACCCCTGTTAGAATAGCCATCATCAGCAACACCACCAACAACAGGTGTTGGCGAGGATGCGGGGAAAAAGGAACCCTCTTACACTGTTGGTGGGAATGTAGACTAGTACAACCACTCTGGAAAAAAATTTGGAGGCTACTTAAAAAGCTGGACATCGATCTACCATTTGATCCAGCAATACCACTCTTGGGGATATACCCAAAAGACTGTTACTCCAGAGGCACCTGCACATCCATGTTTATTGCGGCACTATTCACAATAGCCAAGTTATGGAAACAGCCAAGATGCCCCAGCACTGACGAATGGATTAAGAAAATGTGGTATCTATACACAATGGAATTTTATGCAGCCATGAAGAAGAACGAAATGTTATCATTCGCTGGTAAATGGATGGAATTGGAGAACATCATTCTGAGTGAGGTTAGCCTGGCTCAAAAAACCAAAAATCGTATGTTCTCCCTCATATGTG